CATCTAAAAGGTCCTTGAAATTATATTGGAAATATAGAAGAAGTGGATTAAAATGGGTACTGCTTGAGGTCATTGATTTATGTACTGGTATTTGATTCCAGTGATGTTTTTGTATGTTAGAATTTTTTAACTTATTTTTGAAACTTCAGCTGAGACTGATGTACATTTTGTACCTGGCAACAGAAGATTGGTGAGGTTTAGTCCACTTTTTCCAGTGATCAGCATGCAGACACAGTAATCCTCAGAGATGTCTTATCTGACTTGGCCCACATCCATGCTCACTGTTTTGACGTTACATTTCCAGCACTGCTGTCATACTGGGCATTACACATACATAAAATGTTAACTTGTTACATGTAGTTCACAAGGCCAAGTACAGATTAGCATCTGCTAATAGCTGATTCCATTTTTTTATTTGATGTGGGTGAAGTTGCCAATATCCGTTGATATTGACCACTTCACATTATCACAGAAGTACTTTAACTGGAGGAGCGAAGAGGAAACCAGTGTCCAAGGTCACATTCTCGTCTATTTTGTAGTAAATCACTTTGATCACTACTCAAAGATTATGCTTGATTCAACCTCTTTCATATGTTGTAGTGTGCTAGTTTCTCCGAATGGGAAATGAATAATAGAATGGAGCATTTATATTTCACAAGTGTGAGTTGTAAACACCCCAAAGCATTTCTATATTAAAAAAAAAGAAAAAAAACTGTGCGAAAGAGGGAATAAAATAGCCTTATCACCACCAACACTGTTGCAACTACTTTCCCCATGTTTGTTTCATTCCAAGGGATTAGATATGAAGGATGTCTGAGCATGCAATAATTTTCAGAACTGGTAAAATGGAATATTGCTTTTTATATTATCATTGTAAGTTTTAGTATTAAATTTTTCATTATGGTAAACTATGTACAAATCAGTATTACTTTTTTTTCTTTTCTTTTTTTTTCATTATGCACAGTTTGTTACTGGTTGTGTTACAATGGAAGCTCTCACACCACAGTATGATGAGCAGAAATGTGATATTAGTTTAGATAGTGGGCAAGCAGACACGGGCAGATCTGAAAGTCATTGCATGTCAGGATAGCTTTTGAAACTGTCCTTTCAAATTGTTATAAAAGGGCATTAGATAATTGCCCACACCTGGAGCTAGATGAACCTCTGGGAATTGTTACAGGGACATCAGAAGAGAACTTAGCTCACAGGTCATGTGAAGGGATATGCTGTAGTTGCAGACTTTATGCATTCTGTTCAGGAACTATTGAATTGGTAAATTGATTATGGGTTACTGTTTTCCTTAAGCATTATGAAAAATAATTCAGATTTAGTTTAAAAAGTCTAGACACCTCGAACTTCAGCTATTCCAAATCCCATAGCTTACATTATCATTGGAGCTCCTGGGAGCATGGCTAGCATGTGATCAGTTTTAATTTGATTTAAAAGTTTTGAAAAAGGTTTGAAAATTGCTTTTGCTTTAACTTCCTTTAAGGTCTGTTCTTGCAGCTCCTCCTGGTCAGAAACTTTGTGATGTCAAATACTGATGAATGAAAGTGAGAAATAAAAGCCTCTTTTCATGTACTGTTTTCTTTCATTTCCTGAGCACACAAGTACATTAGTAATTCTAGCCATCAACTACATGTGTTCCTGATTAGTACTGCTGTTCTAAAGAAAAGGTAATGATCTTGAGTCCACATAAACTGGTATATGTGGAATCGTTAGTTGTCTAATTTAATCAAAAGGATTTTGGTTATTGTGTGTCATGTAGAACACCAATTTTCTTTTAAGAAAATTTCAGTAGATATTGATAGCAGGAATACTGAACATGTAGGATCATCAGGGTTCTAAGTACAGTTTGCAAACAAGTAACAGGTGGTGGCAATTATTGAGGTGTAGTGTCATGAAATAAAAGTATACTTGATAAAATCATTTACTCTGTAATTCATCTGCAGTTTCATATTTTAAGTTAAGTCCCAATCATTTTTGTAAAACTTGAGTGCTTGAAAAGTGATGGTAAGGCTCAGTTTTAATCTACCCAAGTCTGTTCTTTGGTATCATTTAATATTTTCTTCATCAAATGAAATAAAAGTAATTTGATGAAAATCTCTTGTGATGAAGTGTCAAACCACAACCCAAAAAAAAAATATATATATAGGAGTCCTTGATATTCTACTTTTTTTTATCAAGTTGATAGGCTGAGATGCAACAGAACAAATTAAGAACAAAATCTGTTTGAACCAATATATTTGGATGAACTAGCAGTGGACAAAAAGCCAGTGATGTAAGTGTAACAAAGAAGGAAAGAAATAAAGGTGAATGGTTGAATGAATGAGTTGTTGAAAGTTGCTTTAACCCATTGGCAACCCATTGGCAACAAGATGCTGGGTGGCACATCACATCAAGAGTCCTGGTCCTCATTTCCAGGATGAGGTTAATTGCCTGAGGATGCAGTGCCATGCTTTAATTAATCCACCCCCACCCCCACCCCTTGTTCATTGTTGCTGTGGTGGAGGCTTAGGAGGTGGAGACTGAGGCTCAATATAGGGGATCACCTCTACCTTGAACCTTAGCCCTTGCCTCAATTTTGCATGGTCTTTTCTTTTCCTTCTCTTCAACCCTTCTGTCCACTCATCCTAATCATTAACTCATTTTTTGTCACGGTACGTTGTCATAATGCTATGTGACCTTTAATGACTGGCACATTTGTTTTTGATCATTGACTATTCTGGAAATCCACAAACTTTGCCTTGTGAACCAAAAAACTTCTTACCATGGGGCTTCACCCCTAAGCCCCACTCTATCACTACATTTTAAATATACCGCTTATGACCTTAGATGTTGATGCAGCAGAAAATTTTCAATAAATAAATAAATAATGTATTTCCATCCTTACAGACTTTACAGAAGAGTTTACCTTTCATTATTGGATTTACAGAAACTAGAGGAGATACAAAGGGAAAGAGAGATCTGGAGTGCTTCTGTTGACATCACGAAGGCCTCCCACACTTTTTCTATCATTTCAGATATCTTGTGCTGTGGCTGCAATTTAGGGTTGAATATCATCAAAGCTACTACTCAGATAAAATTTGTTGATTGAATTACCAAATAATACTAAAGAGTAAGTTATGAGGACAAAAAGTTTCGTAGCTCTGGTCATCGCATACTGCAGTATTTCATTATGTATCAAAGTCTACTTTAGCACTATTTTTACAATAACATGAATGATATACTGCTCAATTTTAAATTCTGACTTGCTCAAAATGGAAAATATTTTTTGTATCAGTGCTGTATAGAATGAAAGAGAAAAGACGATATACAAGTCAAATTTGAAATGGCCTACTTTATAGGATACTGTACTGGAGAACAAATGTAAACAATTCCTGTAACCCTAGAGGTAGCTTACTGAGCAATTCCATTACCTGGAGAGGTGTAAACAGTACTGATAGTTCTTCATCAGATCAAAATTGGTTAACAACAACAAAAGTTTGAAGAACACTGAACTTTACCAAATTTCTCTCTAAAGTTACCAGCTTTCCTCGGTTACAGTAACCATTTGTTGAACAGAACACAACAAGAATTACTATCATAATGATCCATTCATAACAATAACATTCATTGCACAATCGTCCATGTGTACCATTATTACATTATTTCTTTTGTGAAACAAAAAAAATAAAAGAATGCAGTGCTAGACCTCAGAGTAAACATAACTCATATATTGCAAGTGTGTTTATGCTAGCAATAACTTACAAATATTTTCTGAAGTTGACTTCAGTCATGATATTCTGTTTATGTACAGTCCTCTCCACTTCCAAATTTACCAGTCCAAACTGTCAAAGAGTCAACTGCCAGTTTTGACTCTGACTCTCATATCCCTTGCTCGTTGCTACTGTTGGGAAGCTTAGGATGTGAAGACTGAGGCCCAATGTAGGGATCATCCCTGCCTTGGACCTCAGCCCTTGCCTCAACTAATTTTGCAGGGTCTTTTCTTCTCGTTTCCTTTTCCTTCTCTTCTTCATCCCCTTCTTCTGTCCACTTATCCATATTGTTAGCTCTTATTTACCCTTTTTACCTGAATATTTTACCATATTGCTGTGTTACCTTTGATGATAGCACATTTGTTTATATTACCATTGACCATTCTGGAAATCAACAAACACTGCCTTACAGAACCAATAAACTTTACCTGGGGGCTTTGCTCCCAAGGCCCACCCTATCATTATATTTTGTATACACCACTAATGACCTTAGATGTTGAAGTGGCAGAAATTTACTCTAAATAAGTAAATATCCAAACAAATGTATTGTTGAATACAAGAGTCAAATCTTGCATTACCCAAACAAAGTGGTGAACTTAGAAGTGGAAGGGACTGTACTAGCATATTTCCTAATTGTTATATGGTAATAAAAGATCTTTTACAACACTGAGCAGTTAAGTTATGATCCTGCCATACTCTGGATTAATTAAATGACAATAACCTTACTATAACTGTCGAGACAATGATTTCATACATTATTTTTTATTCTAGAACTTTTTTGAGCCAGATATAATTTATTAAGGTAATGGCATGATACATTAAAAACAAGACTAGGAGGACTGTTTAAATAAAATTAATGCTTATTCAAATTTTAATACAAGAAATATATACACATTTGTAAACATTTTATATACATGAACTTTTTACAGACTTAATATCAAGTCTCATCATCAAGGGACTTTACATAAATAGGTCTAGAAGTTTTCTGTCTCCGTAAGTTTCCTTGGCCCCAAGCTTTGCCATCTCTCATTGTGATAGTGTTTGGTGGCATGTGCACTGGTCTTGGGTATGGGGACTTGTAGTGCAATCCTGTGGAAGCAGAATAAAATATACTGAAAAGTATAATTCATATAGATACATACTACATTAGGTATATTTTGAATGAGAAAAAAAAATCTGATTGACAAGTTTCGTGCTATTAAATACTAGAATACAATGTACCTGTACTATTACTCTCAACAA